GTTCACTCTCCTCAACCCATCGGACTTTTTTCGGAAGGAAGAAATGAGGATGGTCCGCTTCGGAGAGGCACGAGCATTCCTCAGCAATTTCGGTGTAATGCCGCGTCGTCAAGCCTGGTCAATCTTCGGCCTTGATAATAATGGCAACAGTCGTGTGGAGGTCACAATTAGGGACGGCAGCGTGCACCAATCGTCACAGAACTCTGTTTCGTGAACTTTTGAAAGGTAACGTTAGTAAGCAGTTAGTTACTTTAGTTGGTTGGTTAATTAATTATTTAGTTAGTTAGTTTAGTTTCTATCGAAAAAAAAAAAACTTTTTCAATGAAACATTTCTACGAACGTTAAAAGGAAGAAGGAGAGAGAAAAAAGAAAAAAAGAAAAAAAAGAAACAAATCGTCATTTGTCCGGGGAAAAAGTTTTAATTTAATTCCCTTTGATTTTCTAATAATAATGATTGATCGAATCGAATTATTTTACGCTATCGTTCGTTTCAATTTTTTATGCAATTGCGATTAAAAGTGATTTAATGATTTTTTTCTTCCTTGTTTTTTTTTTTATTTTTTTTTTTTCTTTTAGAAAGCATTTAAATGCCTCGGAATAAATTCAAGGAGTATAGTACGAGATAGCGCTTTTGGTGAAAAGTAAAAAAAAGAAAGAAGATACATGAGGAGAAAGAGGATAGAGAAACTGCAGAGAGGAAAAAAGAGAGAAAGGGAGAGAGAGAGAGAGAGAGAGAGAGAGAAGGAGGGGGAGAGAGATAGAAAGAGGGAGATTTCTCTGCAGAGAGTGCGAGCTTTTTAATTTTATGAGGGGTGTTTATCTTACGATTATGTTGATAACTTCTCGGTACACGCTCGTAACGTAAATTGGCCTTCTGACAAGAATTCCGTGTGTGAGTTAGAGGGAAGAAGGGAGAAGGTAGAAATCGTTCGAAAAATTCGTCTCGCTACTTCGGGCAATCGTAAAACATTATTTGGATTCAATAAATCTCTCTGTATAAAAGTGTATTAGCAATGTCTGCTTGTTTCTTATTAAAGGATTCAACGTGTATTTTCGTATATTCATTTTATATATATATATATATATATATATATATATATATATATATAAATGATGCGATTTAAATAGCCCATAAGCGAGGTATGATAATCGCTTACGCGTGAAATTTCAAGGCCATTAACGTTTCATAATCCACGATGAGATATAAATAATTTCAATTTTCGAGTCTTACGTATACCGTAAGATACGATAATGTGGAAGAAATTATTATAAATAATAATTATTCAAAACTCTCGAGAAAGAGTTTTATATTTCTTTTTCAGAATAACAGAGAAAGAGAAAGAGAGAGAGAGAGAGAGAGAGAGAGAGAAAAAATTTTCGTTCATCTTACATGTATGAATCCTCTGTGAGTCGTCGATAATGATTCATAATGGCGACGGAAAGTAGAAGAAAAATATTCGAAAAAGTACATCATAGAATTGGCTCTTTCTTCCCGTCCTTTTCCAAGCTGTTCGTCGACGAGGAGAACGGGAGGGAGACTCACCGGGCCGTGTGTAACTTGATAAACAAGTTTACTTGGAGAGGCCAGTATCTTATATACACGCTTACACTGGGTGTCCCAAGGAGACTGAATACTAATTGCTGGACGTGCCGTGTGAAACAAAGCGGCTACTCCATGGATACTGCAAACTCAGAATCCCTCTTTCTCTCTCTCTCTCTCTCTCTCCCTCTCTCTGTCTCTCTCTCTCTCTCTCTCTCCTTATCGTGCATCAAGTTCAAGCAAGTACCCGAAGAAATAAGAACTGGACCAATCCAAATTGGAAGTAAGATGAACATGAAGTTCCTTAGTGTAACTTAGTTAGCAACGTCGTCTTATATACTGGTATTTGAAAAATGTTAAAGAAAATGTTGTTTCTATCTCCTATTAATTTCTTTCCTAACGAAGAACACGTATGTATGTGTGTGCGTGTGTGTGTGTATCTTAATGTCCGACCATTTCTAATCATCATCAGGATCGTCTGATAAATCAATACAGTAGAATGGTACTATGATACGTTTGAAGAAGAAATGAAAGAAAAGAAGAAGTAAGAAGAAAGAAAGGAAAAAAGTAGACGGAGGGGAGGGAGAGAGAGAGAAAAAAAGAAATAAAGAAATGGAACCCCCGGTATATTAGCGATGGGCAATCCTGTCGAAGCGGATTCGCGGTCGCCGCTTTTGGTTTTCCGGATCTTGGGTCCGGTAGTCAGCGGGTGGTGGTATTTCTGATTCTCCGGCTGGCAGCGATAAGAAGGTGAGAGAGAGAGAAAGAGAGAGAGAAAGAGAGAGAGAGAGAGAGAAAGAGAGAAAGAAAGAAAGAACCTCAGCAAGGAAATAACGTTGAGTATGCAGGCACGAGGCAAGCTATAGATGAGATGGGCACGAGGAGCACTGCACTCGGACGTGTCGACTGCTCGCACGAGTCCCTCCTCCTCCCCCCGCCCTTCCCCGCCGCACTCTCTTTTTGCTATCGAGAGGATTAGGAATCCTTCTTCGTAGTCTTTTCTGAGTTTTTCTGATCCTTCTAATATTCCAGTCACGAGTTCTTTGTGTTTAATACGTGTGCTCTCCTTTGTTTTCATTCCCTTTGTCTCTTCTCTCATGATCTTGAACATCGGTGTCATGCAAAATGTCATCTTTTAAAGAAATAAAGAAAATTTAATGAATTTATTTTCTTTCCTTTTATTCTTCTTCTTCTTTTTCATTTTTCTTCTTTTTTTTTTTTTTTTTATTTTCATTTGTTCGTCTCTTTTCGTTTTTTCGTTCTCTATAACAATACCTTTCTTAAGCCTTTACGAATCGTTATTATTATTTGATTTGTATAGAATTACATAGGCGATAACAACAAATTGCGATATCATTTTGTTTAACATTTATAAATGTATCCCTTGTCAAGATTATACATTAAGTAAGTACATACATATATGGTATATGTATATAACTTGGATTCTCTATCCTTTAAGATCTGAGAGCACATATCCAACACGATGTACGGATGTACCCTTATCGCCGTAACTTCTCTTCACGCTGTAAGCGAGTTCTTGCTTGCATCTTAAGCGCTACTCGTATTTTCTCGCATTATTTGCGCCCGTCACACCACCTACGTTGTTCGCAAATCGCAGATCCAACGCATTTCCAAATCGCAAACGTGACGTCTCCTTATCGTCTTACTTATATTATTTCTACGTTTATATTGCCCAGTTGCAATTTTTATTAGGCCAGTGAACCACCTCACTTGTACACATTTGACAATCTTCTTTTTTTTTTTTTTTCCTTTTTTCTCTTCTTCCACGAGTACGTAGAAGAAGTATCGTGTTTTGAAGAAATTTGCTAAAATGCAATCTTGATGTTCGTTTACAGATTTTCAAAAAAAAAAAAAAAAAAAAAAAGAAAATAAAAGAAAATGTTGTATTTTTAACAGATCAGTATCTAGTTTACTTACAACTATGTTTTTTTTTTTGTTTTTTCTTTTATTTTGTTTCTTTTTACCTATCGATGATTCAGACCTAATGCATGCACCGTAATGTACGACTGGAACAAGTACGTAGAACCCATATACAGTGCACAACCAAGATAGAACAGGATGTTACTACTCGTAATATATACGTAAATTACTGTAGATGATAACGCGCAATGCCCACGCGTCTAGCAAGAGATCCTGTTTTTCTTTCTCCTTTCCATGTTTAATAAAATAAAAGGATTGTCTCGTAGTTACATATATTGTATCTCTTTTGCCATATAAATATTCTTTCTCATCATTCTTTATATAATTTCTTTTTTTTTTTTTCTTTTTAACGACATCACAAATTTCTTAACAATATCAATACATTTCGATTTTATTTCTTCGAAGAAATCTTGATAGCAATAAAAAAAAAAAAACAAAAAGAAAGAAATACAATAACTACGACATTAATATCACTGATATCTTCAATTGAATTTTGATTGATACCGTCATAATGGATAAGTGAATTGAAGCGTAAGAAAATTTAGCAAAGGTTGAAATATTAAAACCCTTATATATGAATCCCTAATCCCAATTATAAAAATTATAATCCTTGACGATCTACCATCTTAACTAATATGGAAGTCATTAAATGCATAAAGAAACATGGCTCTTCACCAACTTTCGATTTACGTGGAACAGGGCTCATCAACAGTACTGCCATCAACCATAAGCCATCTTACGAAACAGTTTGTACATCGAGGTAGGTATCTACAAGTAAGTACGTAGAGCTAACGACGATTGGAAAACATGAATGCGAACTCTCATGAACTTTCCTTAGAACAGGAGATGAGATAAGTGGTTTGTCCTCGCGTAAAGGCTACATCGTAGCGATAATGTCAGAAAAATATACTTATATACGTATGTATGTACGTATGTATATATGTACGTATGTACCAAAGAAGAAGAAGAAGAAGAAGGAATAAAGGCCTCGATAGATGTGCAAGCTATTCGTACGAACGGATGAAAATAGATGAAGATAGAGGGACGTGATGCATGCTTGCGATTAAGTGAATAGGCAGAGGCCAGTGTAGATAAAGGATTATGAGGTAGATCGGTGAATCGGGTCGAAATAACAAGTGCATTATAGATTATACCACCTAACGTTCTCTACCAACTCCAATGTAATTAAACATACTAATTATCATTTCTTTTCTTAACGATTCAAGATTCCTCGGGATATGAATGAATCAAATATAAAAAAAAAAAAATAATAAAAAATTCAAGATAAGAGATTCGAGGGGGAAAAAAAGAAAATGGGGGAGAAAAAAAATATATATACATATGTATATGTATGTATATATAAAAAAAAAAAGAACGAAATATTTTTGACGATGTTATGATAATCATCGAGATTGTTTTTGTACGTTATCTTACTTTGATTCGATTTTCTTGATAATAAATAATAAAAACGATTTCTTTTTTCCTTCTAAATGGATATATAATATATATATATATATACCTTATTAAAATTTAATAAATTTTCTCGATATCATTAAGAATTTGAAAACGATTTGACGATTTCACTGTTCACTTTTCCTGCACCACCCGTTACAACGTGTAACGCGTCCGATGTTCACAATATACCGAATGCATGTGGAAACGTATAATTTAGCGAACACACCACTTCTCTCAAGGATTCGACCTATACACTGTGCGAGTTAACTTTGAGAAACACTTGGCAATTCCATCCCCCTCACCCACCCATTCACCGTCCCATATCCTTCCTTAATCCCCCTCCTTGTATAAACAATCTCAATCATTTTTCCTTCAATTGATCAATTCGTTGTCCCCCTTTTTTTTTTTCTTCAACATAAGAACAGTGTTCGTTCATTCGATTCGAATAATTCCACACGTTTATACTTTCAATTCACACTAATAGATCTTAAAGATCACGATCGAATAAGTATCGGTCAGAGTTCGTGGAGAACAGAGCGATCACGGTGTAGCTCGTGCCCCGGCAACATCGGCATCGCCACTATTCTTCGGTTGCACATGTTACTCTCTATTAAGCTGCCTTCACACGGTGGACCGACCTAACAGAAATATACCGCGTTGGGAAAAGAATAATAAGAGATTATATGTTTTTTCTCTTTTTTTTTTCTTTTTTAACTTGATGATTTGAATTTTTATCTTCCTTTTTTTCTTCCTTTTTTTCTTTTTTTTTTTTTTAAATCATATTAAATTTCAAATATCACTTTATTATTGGATACAATATCGTATCCACAATTAAATCTGTACTTGAGTTAATGTAGTTCGTCAAAATTTGAAAACTTGTATGTTAAATAAAGTCGTTCAAAAAGGAGAGAGAGAGAGAGAGAGAGAGAGAGAGAGAGAGAGAGAGAAGAAGAGAAAGAGAGAGAAGGAGAGAAAGAGAGAGAAGGAGAGAGAGAGAGACAGAGAGATTGGTTCGGTATACAAATCCTCTTTTGGTCAGTTAACTTGTGTAATAAATGTCACATCCGTGAACCGAACATTGACACGAGGACCTTCGCCGCGAAACTACTTAACGCGCTAGAAAGTCTGTAACTAAACAAATATGACTAATCCTCGAGAGTCAACGACACGGTATAACCCTTTGTCGCTTATTCCGTTGAACCCAGCGCTGTTTTCTTTACCCACTTGAAAAGGTCTCTCCTTGTACGTTCCTCAAGTGTTTTAAATACAACACACATTCGATATATATATATATATATATATATATATATTATATGTATATCGCAAATAATAAATTATTAATAATATGTTATCTTCACTGTGAGATGTATAATGTTTATTGTAACTGATTAAAATTTATTCTTAGAATTCAAAAAAAGAATATCTAAAGAGCAAGATTTAACGTGATTCACAATGAGAACAGTAATGTCTCTCTACGATTTTCTTATCTTTTACTTTTTCTTTTTTCCTTTCTTTTATTTTTTTCTTTTTTTTTTTTTTTTTTGTTATTGAACAATTTAACGAGTTTAAAGGAAAAAGAAAAAAAAAAGAAAAAAAAAGAGAATAATCATTCAAGGATTACCTTTGGATCATCCGATCGACCAATCAAAAGCCGTGTTATATCCTCGGCTATCTTTCCATCAATTCACATGAATATTGTGATCCTAGTTAAAAGATATCAAGGATATTTCAATGTCTTCCATCGATCGGAACCATATACGATTCGACGAGATTATTGGCGGAAAGAAGGAATGAAAGACATAAAAAAATAAAATAAGGAAAAAGATGTCGAGAAAGAAAGTGATAAGAAGAAAAATATAACCGAACCGAAAAAGCCGAAAAGATTTACTCGTGTATCTTCGGTGTCTTAGAAGAAGAGTACTTAGTTCGCGTAGTTGAGTGCGGGCGTAATAAGACTGCCTGCTGACGGCGGTAGCGCAGTTCGTGCCCGCGAGCTGCGGCAGCAAGCAAGAGGGAAGCCCCTCTCTATCCCTTCCTCTCTTTCTTTCTTTCTTTCTTTCTTTCTTTCTTTCTTTCTCACTCACTCTCCTTGCCACGGCACACTCTTCTGCCGACTCCTTTGGTGCCAGCCAGCCAGCCAGCCAGCCAGCCAGCCAGCCAGTCAGCCAGCCAGCCAGCCAGCTAGCCAGCCAGCCAGCCAGCCAGCCAGCCAGCCAGCCACCAAGCCAGTCAGCCAGCCAGCCAGCCAGACCAGGAGGCCTATACACAGGTTGCGCCTTTACAGAACCAGAGCCTGCGGAGCCAGCTTGTCGAGACGCACGGTTGAATCCAAACGTTCTCCCTTTACTCTCTTACCTACCTTCGAACGAATCACGCAAAGCCCTCGAGCGGGAAGACGCCTGAGGGGACCTACGTCAGGCCCCTCGACTACCTTCTTATCCCCACTCCTTATTAACTTCTGATGTCTCGTACGGTTGATAAAGTAGGTTTCCTCATTACTATCTTACTTAGTATATATATATATTTGGATGATCTTCTTTTATTGAACTTTTATATACGTATGTCAGTCAATTGTTCGAAAATGGTGGACCAGTTTTTTGAAGTTTTTTTAATAAATCCGGTTTGGTAAAAAGAGCTTTCTTGATGGATTCGATTAGAACTTCTTCCTGATTGTAAGGTGAAAATGGAATACCTTCTAAATTGTAAATATATACAGCACCTTGAACGTCCGCCGTTACCATCTGTTTCCCATTATCAGTGAATGCGACTTTCACCAATCTTGCTTCGTTTGGAGAACGTGTTACAGATAGTGGGGCATAGGTTCTTCTTTTGATATTCCATATACAAATCTCATTGTTAACGATGCTAGCGATGATGGTCGAATATGTAGGACACCAGGTTGCGTATGGTACACATGCCAATGTTGTTGAAAGAGTGATTAAAGGTTCAGTTAGCTCTTCTATCCAAATTCTAGTACACCAATCAGCTCCACAAGTCAAAAAGAGTTTAGAACAGTAATGAGAAAATTCCATTCTGTATATCGGTCCGTCGTGAGCCAAAAAACTGTCTATGTGATGGTACAAATAATTTGTGGAACATCGATATATCGCTCCCTCGTCTGAGCCCACGAAATAAATAGAACTTAAAGTAGGATGTTGACAAAGAACAAGAGCTCCTGTGCTTTGATTCATTAAAATATCATATGAGATACATTGGTCTGATCTATCCACTCCTAATATTTTATCTTCTATCTTAGAAATCTTCATCATCTCGGTCATTATGAAATCCTCGTCCAATGGGTAACGATAAACACGTCCATTTTGATTACTTGTATAAATTAATTCCTAAATCGAGAACGAAGTATTAATCGTTATTTAATAATATTATTATTATTTATATCGTTGCATATATATATTGAAATTATTAATACCTGAAAATCAAAATGTTCGTCGCTCTTCCACCATTGTACTTGCCAATGTGGTTCGTATATGACTGATGTATCCCTCTTGCTTTGTCTTATTATGTTAAGAGAAGTGCTGCTAACGTCAATAACTTTTATTGAACCATTGTAGAAACCAATTGCTAGTAAATTTGGCCGATCGTGACTCCAATCTATGCTGGAAATCTGACTATCAAAGATATGTATTTGTCCTGGTTCTTTTGGATTCTTTGCACACCATAGTAACAAGAGGCCATCTTTTTTATCATCTGTTGGCTGCGAAGTCACAAAATGATCATATAAATGATATAAAATTGTTAAAATACTTTAAAATGCATTATTAATCCAAACGAACTTTTGAACCATACGAGACAGCAATAATGTTTCTGTTAAAATAATTCCAACAAAATGAAGAAACTGGTCGATCTTTACTGATATCGCAGGTATAAGTCCACAATAGATCAAGATCGTACGTAAATTCTAAATCGAGACTACATGGATCCCGTTGGACGATCCCAGTGAAACGTTTTTGAACATCAAGATAAATATTGTTAGATAATATGCCTTCCATAATACGTGCGGCTTTCAAAAACCCAGTATTATATACTATATGATATAATTGGTCAGAGGAATGTTTCACTTGATGATCTATGTTATACTGCGGTAATTTATTTTTCATTTCCTATATAATAAATACTATGTATTATATAAATACTATGCAAAAAAAATAAATGAATGATAAATCAATAGCAAAAGGATATCAATGATCTGACCTGTTTTTCCAACATCCGTAGATAACTATCCCTTGTACGAACAACCAAAAATCCATTTTTCTCTGTCATTAATTCTGGTTCCTTATAAGTGTCATATATAACCCAATTATTAACGAACATTCCTTCATTTTGTCGTGCCCTTCCTCCTAGATAAGTACCACGTGATTTCGTAATAACATCTATCGTTTGAGTTTCAGCATCAATCACTTTTCTTGCTATTCCAGGTCCTGCTACTATATCTTTGTATCTCTCATTGCTCTCTTGAACTGCTTGTCCTTCTGATGTACGAAGATCACTCGTCAATGGGAGCATCTCGAAGAAGATAATCGTTTCTGTTTCTTTCAATATAATCGTTATTGTTTCTGGTCGAGTATGAAACTCTTCTGGATCGTCGCTTAATAATAACAATTGAAGGAAACAATATCATTGAATCAAGTCTTTCTTATTTATTTATTTATTTATTTATTTATTTATTTATTTATTTATTTATTTATTTATTTATTTATTTATTTATTACGACTACCTGGATATATAGAATTGAACTGGTGCTTTTTCTTTTACATCCTCCATTACACCCATTACCTCGGTAGACAAAAGACTCTCTATTTGCGTATCATTAGTAACATAGGTTGATCGAGATATTAAAGAAGAACTGGATTTAAAGCCACTGTGTGAGGAAGATAAAAAGGACGATGGACCGTTGCCTTCTGATTGAGAAATGGCAATCTGTTCGAAAGCGGTCATATGGCGATCATCGATTTGATTGAACGTAGGGTGTGTCAGAAATTTCGGTGTCACGTCGATGCCCTCTTCGTAAATACGAAGTGCCATACGTTCTTGCAATAACGGCGA